TTTTAAACCATCTGTGGGAATCTGTTGTCTCTGTGCGCCCCTGGTTTCTATATGAAAAGTGCAAGTGAAGCCTACAGTTACTGAGTCAGAAACGTATAATTCTGAATACACTGTTTGCCTCTAATACACCTACGACCAGCGAAAACGAGGTGATACACGGGATTAAGTGTGGTAATTACACAATAGGTGCATACCTTACATTTTCACCAGAGCCACTGACATAACTGGCATTGCGGATACAAAAGGAGGAGAGACTATACGTGAGGAACCACAGCAGTGAGCTCTCTGCCAGCCTGTGAGCGCATTAATGTTTAATATTTTTCCCAGACAGCAAGGGAAGCCTGCGCACCACACAGAAGCCACCTCTATCCTTCCACCCGTGGCTTAATCAAGGTGATTCTCCACAAAACCAAACAATATTCCCTCCTCTCTCCCTCTCTCTCTCTCTTTCCTTCCTTCGCTCTTAAAAAAAAAAAAACTCTGCCTTGATAGTGCATGCCTCAATATTGATGTGGGCGTCATTTGGCAAAAGGGTTAGGCCCCGCTGCAAAGCTGCTGTGATATGCGTGATCAATCTGGAAAATGTATTTTACAGCATGTAAGCCAGTCGATAGGAACACCGAGTGTGATGCATTGTGTGGGAATAGAGAGGAGGAAGGAGAGGGAGGGAGGGATAGAAAGAAAGAGAGAGAGAGAGTGAGTGAGTGAGAGAGAGAAAGAGAGAGAGTGAGGGGGGGGTCGAGAGACTATGGAGCCGGTGCTGGGACAAATGAGAGGAGAGACGTGTTAGAAGGAAGTCAAGTGTATGTGTGTGTCTATGTGAGAGGAAGAGAAAGACAGAAAGAGATGTGGCCTTGGTTTGCCTGATACATTCAGAGTGTAATGAGTACATCGATAAGTCCTCAATGTGTTAGATGGGTTACATAGAGTTTCTGTCCTTGCGTTGGTCTCTCTCTATACGTGCGTTCCTTCTCTCTTCTTTTTTTTTTTTTTTTTGTCACCATATACTTCACGAAATGACAAAGGAAGCCCAGTTCTGTACCTGGATCTACCCTCGCTGCCATTACTGCATTACACTCACACCTAGAGTGATAAAATGTGATAAATTGGAAGGCGTTATGAGGAAGAAAAATGGGGTTTTCGGTGTGACAATTATTAAATTTGCCTGTTAGTCCCCCCCCCCTTCTTCTTCATCATCAGACGTGTTGCTTGTGTGCCATATTGCCCACATCTTCATCTGCTGACTGGCAGTGATGAGGGACCGTAGAACAGGAGCTGAACTGCATGCAGCACGTTGCCATGCCTGATTTTGATATTGCCATATTTGTTATCTACCTTATAAGACTCGGGGGGAGGGGGGTTATTTGTGCAAGTGCTTTATTTGATAGTATTGCTTGAAAGCGTAAGTATTAATTAGTTGGTTAATGCTGGAATGAGGTAGGTTGTGCTTTAGGTTTGTCCTCAGATGCTCTCTCACAAGAACACATTTTTTTTTATTCTTATGACTGATGTGTGTTCCTGCATATTGTACCTATAGCTCCAAATCGACCACTGGGTCTTACGCCTTGTTGTCAGGCTACTTAAGCTTCTACTGTACAAACATAAATGTGATATTTCTTCAGTTTGGATCGTTGTTTTATTTCCCCCTTTCTTCGTGGATCTGATTGTCTGAGAGCTTCAGGTCAGGTGAAAGGTTCAGAATAATGAGCTGATGCATGGGGCCTTTCCTTTCCTTCTTATCCTGGAGGCGGAATACAATGAATTTAACAAACAAAAATTTAAAAAACTGACACACATAACCAGCAAACATCTAAAACACAATCTTAAATACGCAGCCTGCAGCACGGAGCTTTTTAACCCGTTTGTCTTTAACTCGCAATTTAAAAAAATAAAAAATAAAAAATATATATATATATATCTTTTTTTTTTTTTTTTTTGAATAATCCACAGGATCGTCTCGTGGATGACGAAGAGGACTGTATGCAAGAATACATGTTTATTTTTCAAAGAGAATGGATATGGCTTCACCATGCCCATCACAACAGTCCAGGTCGTTTTTTGTTTTATGTAGCTCTGGACTAAATTGTTTGCTGGGTTATTAAACGCAGCTTTCAGCTGGTTGTCTCCACATAATGTATTCAAAATCCCTCTAGAGTAACTATCTTTTATCCTCTTGCTGAGAGCATTCTGTTATACAATTGTTACACTGCAGGCTATATAAAGCAATAGTTCAAAAACAGATGAAATAGTGGCATGTGTTCCTAATTAACGTCTCTGTATAGGCAATACAAGCAAAACACATGAGTACTCGAGGAAAAGTGATATTTCGTATTTAGGCTGTGGACCACTTTAGACTCTCTTCTCTTTGACAGAAGCTTAAATTAGTATATTATGTAACACTTCAAATATTGAAATATTGTGCTTCAAATAACAGCTATATTTTCTTTATTTTTCAATCAGGCGTTTAGAACCCAATTTCTGATCTCCTGATGTGGTGGCAACATTATTATTAATTAAATAAAAGGAAAGAGGAAAGCACAAAGTGCACTGAGAAAAGTAAATGCACTGTCAGATTGGAGCATGGCTGCGGTGGGTAAGGGAGATGGATATGTTGTACACTATAGGCTCCATTTGTGTCTCTGTAATTTCGGAAACTCCGGTTACCAAAGTGTTACTACGAAATGAGTTAAATAACCATTTACCTTTGTCTGGTTTCATTCATCAAACCACAAGTGGAGGACTCCTAACACGGGGGGCTATTTGTTTGCTTTACACAAGCAGCTGGGTGCGATTTCACGTTTGAGATATCTGTCTGAAAGCGAAACATTTATTATCCTAAGTTGTCAGCAAGCCTATTTCTCCAAAACCCTCAATGCAAACCAGTGGTTTTATGCAGCAGTGGAAATGTCCTATTGGCGTCACACGTCACTACATTTCACTTATAGTAGCCCGGTTTTCCCGGTCACATTTGACAAATACTGTTGTTTGAGACAATAACAATTTCCAAATAGCGGCTCCGTGTATGAATGGGGGCCCCTCTGAAGTATGACACGGCTTATTTCTCATATTGTCTTGTGCGTAAAGATGATGACAACACAGGACAACAAGTGCTTCGCCGTGTCTACGACGCACCTCATCCGCACGAGCTTGCAAAATGGCTGGGAACGCACAGTGAGGACAAATGTCCAAAATTAAATGGATTCCCGTGAGATGTTTTGTTATATCTCAGCAAACAGCCGAGATTCTTGTTCTATTGACTGTACACAGTCAATGGAGAGAGGCGTATCTTGTGATTACAGTGTGCTGTTCTGAGATCTGTCCGCGGACCACATACGCAACCTTTAAGCCATGGATCAAATCCAGCCCTTCGGGGTATAAAATATGCCTGGTTGTGAGTGTACCATAAGGGGACGCCTCCCTGCTCGCGCGCGCGCACGTGTGCGTGCGTGCGCACGCATGTTTGTCATGATTGTCACAACTGTGTGGAGGGCAATTGATGGGATTTTTAGCATACATTTATAAGGTATTTCTGTATGTATGTGTGCGGGCACGTTCCTCGCATGCCCGTGCGTAAAAGCGTGTATCCACCAAACGTACGTACGCGTGTATGTGCGCGCTACTGGCCGAGGGAGAGAGGTGATTGTGAGAAAGCCCGGATCGCTGTGTAAGCGGATCCCTTTGTGTTGATTTAGGAAGACGTTTGCTGTATATAACGTTCAAGGCTGATAATATCATTGCCTGGCCAGATAAATAAAGCATTGGCCAAAACCATCGGGTCAGCTATCGATCCGCTTTTTCTCCCTGAGAGAGGGAGAGGGAGAAGAGAGGGGGGAGGGAGGGAGGGGAGGGGAGGGCTGGGGGGTGGACAGGAGGGAGGAGGGGGGGGGGGGGGGGTGGATTGAGAAAGAGAGGGAGAGAAAGGGAGAGAGACCTTACTCATTAGCATTCCACAGCCATGGACTAAACGCTGACAACTAACAGAGATATCCAGCTCTACACCACTGCATGCATTTTCCCCCCTTTGTCTTCTTCCCCCTGGCCCTTCATTTCCAGCGGACAGATCTCTCGTCACAGCCAACACATTTTTATTTATGCCCTCTCCACTCCTTTTGCACGAATGGACCCCTTGCACAAGAGAGAAAACCTTCTAGTAAAGCAGAGGAGAGAAAAAAAAGAAGGGGGGGAGTGATGTTGTAAAAGCTGTGCAGAAGTGACAGCGCTAAGCACACTGGCTTTACTTGAGAGAGATACAATTGTGTGTGACTTGACAAAATAGAAGCGGGAGACGTTTTAAATTGCAACCTTAACTGCCATTATTTAGATATTTTAGGATTTGAAAAAAAAAAACCCACCGCCTGCTTGCTTCATTATGAGAGAATAAATAATAATTGTATTTACAGATCAATAGTGAGGGAATATTTTTCCGCTTTGATTTAGACGTTTGCTTTAATTTAGTGCCACGTTATTTTTACCTTTTAAACGTTTGTAAAACGGTTTTCCACTGAGGCTGTGCGACTTCTACATAATGCTGAGAATAAAATAAACACACAAACTCAATAACGCTATCAAGGCAAAAACCTCTAAATTCAAAATCTATTGTGTTGTGTGCTATTTTTACACTCGTGTGGAAATGATTTACAATTTGGCAGAAACTACATTTGTATTTCTAACGATTACATTAAAACTTTAAAGATTTCAGCGGCTAATATAGAGGCTACAAATGACATCATTTGGACAAGCTCCTTTTTTTTCAGATGACTATATCTTAATATGCGCTCAACTCTCGCCCAACAATGACAGCTGTTCATCTGATAGTAACTTCTTTCCAAGTTTTTCTCCCCTCCCACCCCGGGGCCCCCGGTCTCTGTCTTGCTTTGTTGTTTTAAAATATGCATGTCTCTCCGGAATGCCAGTCACGGGTCCAAACTTTGTGTGTCCCAACCTCCCACATGATGAAATGATCCTTTTAAAGCGGGCTCAATATGTCTCAATCTGCACTCCTCTTCCCTTCTCTAAAGCTTCTGGGTTCGGGACTCAGCCCAGAAATATATTAATTAAAGCGCACTACTACGGACCTTTTTTTTTTTTTTCCTTTTCTTTTTCTTTTTTTTTTTTTTTTGAAGCATTGAGGAAGAAGCGGTTGGATCAAGTCAAGCTCTGTCAACGACGGATGGATGAAGATTCATGGCAAGAAAAGGAAAAAAGTAAGGCTCATTTTGACGCTCTCTCTCCCTCTGTCAGCTCCTCTCCTCCTCTCTCTCTCCCTCTCTCTCTCTCTCTCTCGGCCCCACTCTCTCTCTCTCTCTCTCTCTCTCTCTTTCCTCTGTGTGTGTGTGTGTCTCTTTTGCACAGTGTTCGTGTGTGTTCCTCGAAGTGAAACGGATAAAGCCAGGGGGAGTGAGTGCGAAAGAGAGAGAGAAGTGTGAGAGAAAAAAGGGGGAGGAGGGATATATACGTAAAAAGTGAAAGAGGATGGACGTTTGTCTATGTTTGTGTGGGTGTGTATTCGTCTATATGCGTGTGTGTGTGTGTGTGTGTGTGTGCTTGTCATCACCAAGAAAATTAATCAGCAAGTGGGACTAAAACTCCAACGTGCAACTTTTCTCACTGGTGTGTAGTATATGAACACTTGTTTGCATGAATGGTGCTGTTTACATATGTATGTGGAATAAACCACACTAGAAGGGGAAAAAAAGAGAGAAAGAAACCCGGATGGTAGGAAAGGAAATGCTTGAGTTTAAAGGAGGAGGGGGAAAAGCGTGAATCGGATGTAACAGAGCGTTTGCAGCTCAAGAGGAACTTCTAATTCCTTCTGTCAAGTTTGAGAGGATGTGTACATGTTTCTCAGCGGCGCAAGTGATGGCATTATAAAAGAAGACGAAGAAGAAGAAAAGACAAAGCGACCCTAATAATGACTGCCTGTGGAAAAATAAGCTGTTAAGTTAATGAAATTTAGAAGGAAAGTTGGAGCTAAAACCTGTTGCTTCTGCTCCAAACATAACAGCAACCTAAATACTGTGATAACATCCCATGAGCCCTGCAGCATCTCATCCCATCATAATCCACCCCTCCAAAAATGTAAACAGACCAACACTGGGAGTCATTGGGAAAGATCTGCACAAACAAATTGAATTTAATTACTGTGTTCATTTATTAAATTCAGATACGTTTTAATAGACATCCCAACAGTCTGATTATGTCAACATATGGGAGGCCACGCAGCAAGGCCCGGGCTTACATACCTGATAACGCCTGGGCTTTTCAGCAATATTTACGGCTTCTCTTTCTAATACACTCCAGATGGTGTGTGACTGTGCCACCGCAGCCAGCGAGCTCCTCAATTTTTACTCAGCAGCATTTTGTTGCAATTACATCAATGCTGAGGCAGAATTTATTGGTGACCCACTTTCAATGCATTATATGCAAATATACATATATATAAAAAAAATAATTACAAAAAATAAATTTAGTTTGTAAAAAAAAAAAAAAAGAAATTAAAAGAAGAAAGTTTTGAAAGATCACTAGTGTGCTCTTTCTTATTTGCATGTGAAGTTTGCTTTTAAGTAAAAGAAAGAAGGGAAAAAATCTCATTAAAGTATACTCCTCAAACAGTCACCCCCCCTCACTTCATGGTTTGATGGATTAATATGTTATAAAGACAAAACACACAGGCCGCATTCATGCCTGACCAATCTTGTTGTTGCCTGTGCGTTTTTTTTCCCAGCCAGTCACTCAGGCAGAATAATGCGTGTAAAGATATAATCCACTGAGCCTATACCCTCTGTAGTCCCTCGCTATATTATCTCCTGACAATAAATTGGCAAGCTTTTTAGCAGGTACCCAGCATCTTCACTAAACACAGGCGAATGTCATTTGCTAAGGATTTGGTTAATAGACTAATTCGGTTTATATATTATTACTATATTAGGTTTAGTATGGCATGATAAACGCCTGTGTGTCTGCTGTGGAATAATTCTGTTTTTTTTTTCTTTTTTTTTCCCCTTAGTGCGTTTATGCAGATACTCATAAACCTATTATCTGAATATAGGCTAACAAAGCACATTTGGAGTCATAAGCAAATGTGATTATTTTACATCTGTTTGCAGGAACTAAAGCCTGAAAAATAGTTTTTTTTCTTCTTTTTTTGTGGACTAAGGCTGCTGCAAAACTTTCACTAATCTATCTATCTATCTATCTATCCATTCATCCATCCATCTATCAGTCTATCTGTCTATCTGTGTTGAGTTATGGGTTGTTTCACTGTCACACTTGCAGCTCATATTATTGCTATCTGTGTTTACCTGGATTGCTCAGAGAGGCTGCTGTAGGTCTATTATGATTAACTGAAACGAAGCATTGAAGGATATTTTTCATCTATGCCACAGGGTACCGCTCCTGACAGTGTAAGGTTTCCCATTGACTCCCTTTAGTCTCCATGGTTGGATCTCTCTCTCTCTCCCTCTCTCTCTCTCTCTCAGCCACCTCAGAGGACATGCGGCATGTTGATAAATACATGTCTTTTTTCCATCTTACTCAGCACCATCCATCAAATTTGTATGTCCATGTTACACTGCTGTGCTTAAGGGAGGAGAGAGGATGCCAGCAGTCGCGCAGAAACACACTCTAAATCGTCAACAAGGGATGTATTGCACTCGCTATACAAACTCAATAATTACCTCGCACCGTGTTTCTGGTCATGTTAACGTTGGTGAATTGTCTTAAATCAGGCAATGCCCGGGTTATGATGTTTGGAGATTTAGAAGTGGTCTTTTTTTTTTTTTTTGCTGCGCTCTGCGGGTTAATAACCTCTTCACGCACTATAACCGCTGCGTTTTGATCCCAGTAATACGTTGGATTGGAGCATTTTTCTGGCTTTGCCCACGGCTTGGACCACTCTACAGAAGACCAGTCGCCCTGTGGTTGCAAACTCTTTGTGGCCCCACATACCGCCGCTGTGATTATAGAAGTGCCTCCTCTCCCTTGTTAAAGAAGCAAAGCTCTAATCTAGCCTCTGTGTCGCCCCCAAAGCCAGCGTGCTATAGTGCAAATGTGCGTGTGTGCGTGTCGTGCGTGCGTGTTGGTGGTGGTGGGGGGGAGAGAGAGCGAGTGGGGGTCGGTCGGAGCGAGAGAGGGGAAGGGAAGGGTGGGAGAGCAAAAAAAAAAAAAAAAAA